GCCCCCCCCCCCCCCCAAAGTGCCGCTGACCCGGCTGCAACACCTTGACCTGAGCGGGTGCCCCCACCTCGACGACTGGGCTCTGGGGCGACTGCATGTCTTTGGGAACAGCCTGCGGGAGCTGTCAGTGGCCCACTGTCCCCACATCACCGAGAGGGGTCTGGCCACCCTCCACCACCTCCGGTGAGTAAGGGGGACTGTGGGGACCACCCTCCCGGTGCCCCCCCCCCCCCCCCCCTTGTCCCCCCCCCCCCCCCCCCCAAGGGAGCTGCAGCGCCTGGACGTGGCAGGGGTGCAGGTGCCCAGCCCGGGGCTGGTCCATATCCTGCTGGAGGAGATGCTGCCGGGCTGCCAGATCCTGGGCATGGACCTTGGGGACAGCGCAGCGACGGGGACACCGACACCGTCGGGAGGTGGAAAGTCCCCCGTCTGAGGTTGACAGGGTTTTGGGGTGCGGAGGGAGCCACGCTGTCCGCCCCCTGCTCCAGAACATTAAATGCCTGGTGGCTGTGTGCTGCCTCCCTTCCCTCTGTGGATTTGGGTTTTTTTTTGGTAGCAATCAATGAGTTTCTCTCCTTTTTACCTCATTTCGAGTGGTGCCAGACCCGCCCCCCCCAGCGTTCCTGGCTTGAAACTGGCTGCTCCTGTGAGCATTTTGGGATGGTGACACCCCATTAACGGCCAGGTGGAAACCAAGGAAGTGCTGGCTAATCCTCGCCCCCCCTCCCCCCCGCCCCAGGAGTTTAGTACCGCTTGAGGGGGCTAATCTCCTCTCCAGGGGGTGAATTCCCCCCTTGAGGGGCTTAATCCCTCCTCAAGGGGGGGTTAATTCTCCCTCTGAGGGGGTTATTTCCCCCTTCCAAGGGGGTTTATGCACCCAAGGGGGTTCATTCCTTCCCCCAAAGAATTTAATCCACTTCTCAAGGGGGTTAATTCTCCCCTCCAACATGGTTAATCACCCCCAAAGGGAGTTAATTCCGCCTCCAAAGGGAGCTAATCCTCCTCACAGTGGGGATAATTCCTCTCCCAAGATGGTTAATTCCCCCTCTGAAGAGATAAATTACCCCCTCAGGGAGTTTAATCCCCCCCACAGGGGGGCTATTTCCCCCTTCCAAGGGGGGCTAATCCACACCAAGAGGATTAATCCCTTCTCCAAAGGGATTAATGGCCTCTCAGAGGAGATAAATTACCCCCTCAAGGAGTTTAATCCCCCCCCAAATGGGGGCTATTTCCCCCTTCCAAGGGGGGGCTAATCCACACCAAGGGGATTAATCCTTCCTCCAAGGGGATTAATTCCCCCTCTGAGGAGATTAATTACCCTCTCAAAGAGCTTAATCCCCCCCAAAGGGGGCTATTTCCCCCTTCCAAGGGGGCTAATCCCCCCCCAAGGGAGTTAATCCCCCCCCAAGGGAGTTAATCCCCCTCTCCAAGGGTGCTGTTCCCCCCCTCTGGGGTATTAATCCCTCCGGGGAGGGGGCAGGGGGGGTCTCCCCTTTGGCGATGCACCCACTGAGCAGCTGAGGTGGGTGTGCACACCCGGGTTTATTGGGGGGGGGGGGGGCTATATATCACTTTTCGAAGTGCTCAAGCGGGTAATGCTCCCCGTAGTGCTGCAGGTGCCGTTCCAGAGCCGCCCGCTGCCGCCGCAGGTGAGGCGGCATCTCCCGGTAAACGTCGGAAAAGAGGAGCTGGGGGTTAGGCTTCAGCTTCCGCTCCGCCTGCTCGAATGCCTCCATCACCTGCAAGGCAGCATCAGTGTCTTTTTCTCCCCAAAATCCCAGGGCTTCCCTCCCCCAAAATCCCCGAGGGAATCGCCCCGTTACCATTTTGCGGGAGCTTTTGCGCCAGCCCTTCTCCTCCTCCTCGTCCCACCAGCCCCGGTTCAGCATGTAATGCCGCAGACGGGAAATGGGATGATCCTGTTTGTCCCAATAATTCACCTCGTCCACCGAGCGGTACGCCGAGCTGTCGTCACTGGTGCTATGGTGACCGATTCTGACCGGGGGGGCGGGGGGGAGATAAAAAAAAAAAAACTTTAAAAAGGTGTTTTTTGGGTGCACGTGTCCCTCGCTCCTCTCCCTGTTGTTACCGGTAGGTCATGGCTTCGATGAGGAAAGGCTGGTTCTCCGCCACGGCGCGACGCCGGGCTTCTTTGGTGGCATTATAAACGGCGAAGACGTCGTTGCCGTCCACCCGGATAGACAACAGCCCATAGCCGGGGCCGCGTGCCGCTGCGGGGAGCGGGGATGGGTTGGGATGCAACCCCCGATCTGCCCCACTGTGCCCCAAAACCCCATGTCTGTCCTCTTACCGATGCCGTCGCCCCGGTACTGCTCGGAGGTGGGAGTGGAGATGGCGTAGCCGTTGTTACGGCAGAAGAAGACGATGGGACACTCAAGGGTGGCGGCGAAGTTGAAGCCAGCATGGGCGTCCCCCTCGCTAGCCGCCCCCTCCCCGAAATAGCAGATCACCGCCCGGTTGGCATCGGCGCGCTTGATGGCATAGGCGGCCCCCACAGCTGCGGGGAGGGAGGGGGTCAGGGTGGGGAACGGGGAGGGAGGGGAGATGGGGTGGGGGATGAGGCACCTTGTGGGATTTGGGTGGCCAGCGGGGACGAGATGGTGACGAAATGGCGGTCGCGGCAGCCGTAATGGACTGGCATCTGCCGGCCTTTGCCGGGGTCGCTGGTGTTGCCGTAACACTGCGCCATGAAGAGGTCCAGGGGGTAGCCCCGGTACATCAGCACACCTGGAGGTGGGGGGTGGAGGGAGGAGCACACACAGCCAAAATTGGGGACAGCTCCCCCTGAGCCTGGTGTCCCCCAAATTTGGGACTGCTTGCCCTTACCTGCCTCCCGGTACTGCCCGAAAACCAAATCAGTGTCATCCAGCGCAGCCGCACTGCCGACGTGCGTCCCCTCCTCGCCGTAGTTGGTCATGTAGAAGGAGATACGGCCCTGGGAGGGGAGGCACGGTGTTTTGGGGAGGGGGTGTCCCCGCTCTTGGGGTGTTGTCCCCCCACCCCATGTCCCCCCCTTATCCCTACCTGGCGCTGGGACTCGTAGAGGATGCGGTCCATGGTGTTGAGGAGTGTCATGGTCTTGTAGAGCTTCAACACCAGCTCCTTGGGCAGCTGCGGGGGAGGCAGGGGGGTTTTGGGGTGCCCCCCAGGAAGCAGGGTGTGCCCCGCGTGCCCCCCCCCAAACACACGGTGTCACGTGGTTTGTTCCCATGTCTGTGGGGTGTCACGTGCGTGGGGCGTCCCACATTGGGGGTGTTGCACGCCTGGATGTGGTGGGTTTGGGGTCCCACATAGATGGATGGCACATGTTTGGGGTGTTATACATGTGGATGGCATGTGTTTGGGGTGTCATATGTGTGGACGGCACGTGTTTGAGGTACTGCGTGCCTGCTTGTTGCATGTTTGGGGTATCACGTGCTTGGGCACTGCATGTTCAGGCTGTCACAAGCCTGGCTCTGGCATATTTGGGGTGTCATGTGCCGAGACATTACATGTTCAGGGTGTCACATGCCTGGATGTTGCATGTTCGGGGTGTCACATGCCAGCACGTTGCATATTGGGGGTATCGTATGCCCAGACATTGCACGTTTGGGGTGTCACACACCTGGCTCTGGCGTGTTCAGGGTGTCAGGTGCCCAGACATTGCATGTTTGGGGCGTCAGGTGCCCAGACATTACACGTTCGGGGTGTCACAAGCCTGGCTGTGTGTTCAGGGCATCATGTGCCCAGACTTTGTATATTCAGGGTGTCTCACATTCCCAGACCTTGCATGTTTGGGGTGCCGTATCTGCGTGGGTACCGCATGCCTGGGACGCCCTGTCCCCGTCCCCTTTTTGGGCCCCCCCACCCCTTCCCACCCCGGGTCTGACCTGGGGGTCCTCGTCGGGGCTGACGATGTGACCCTGCCGGTCCATCACCCGGTAGATGGGGATGCCCGAGATGACGTTGGGTTGGATGAACTCCAACCGGTCGGCGAAGTCGGCCGAAGCGCCGGGGAACTGCGGCTTCTCCTCCGGCGAGGGGAATTCCTGCCGCGGCAGGGGACGGGGACAGCGGGATGTCCCCCTCTGTGTCCTTCCACCCCACCCTGGCCCTTGTCCCGCTTCCCAAAAACCCCCCAAAAAGGGCCCCAGGCACCTCCCTCCTGTCCCACCCCCT